TCCCAGCTACTCAGTAGGCTGAGACAGAATTGCTTGAACCCAGGAGGTGGAAGTTGCAGTGAGCTGAGATCACACCACTGCACTGCAGCCTGGGCAACAGAACAAGATTCTGTCTCAAAAAAAAAAGGAAAAGAAAAATAAAAATGGAGTCCAGACCTGGGCATATATATATATTTTAAGAAAACTTCCCAGGTGATTTCTGGGTGCATCCAGGGAGAACCACTGCTCTAGAGGCTTTTTTATTTTTTAGACGGAGTTTCACTCTTGTTACCCAGGCTGGAGTGCAATGGCGTGATCTCAGCTCACCGAAACCTCCGCCTCCTGGGTTCAGGCAATTCTCCTGCCTCAGCCTCCTGAGTAGCTGGGATTACAGGCAGACACCACTGTGCCCAGCTAATTTTTTGTATTTTTAGTAGAGATGAGGTTTCACCATGTTGACCAGGATGGTCTCGATCTCTTGACCTTGTGATCCATCCGCCTCGGTCTCCCAAAGTGCTGTGATTACAGGCGTGAGCCACCGTGCCCGGCCCGAGGCATTTTGAAATGTGATTTGGAAAGGACAGGGAAGGAAACCAACATGTATTCAGTTAACTACTACATGCTTGTAGCTTTCACAACTGTTGGCTCATCCAGTTCTCCTAGCAATCACCTAAAGCAGATACTTTGAATCCCATTGGAAACAAAAGGAAATAGAGGTGTAGAAATGTTACAAAGTAGCACAGAAAGTGAAATCTGCCCACCACCCAGCCCAGGCACTTTCACTGCATGATGGTCCAGAGCGGACTGGCCAGGAGACATTACTGTGAGCCACACATGGGAGACACATGGGTAATTTTGCATGTTCTAGTAACCACATTTAAAATGTAAAAAGAATCAGGGGAAATTCATTTTAATATATTCTATTTAACCCAATATACCCATATTATCATTTCAACGTGTAATCAATATAAAGCTTATAAGCATTATTAATAAGATAGTTTACATTACTCATTTTTTTTTTTTTTTTTTTTTTTTTTTTTTTTTTGAGACAGAGTCTCGCCCTGTCACCCAGGCTGGGTAAAGTGTCATGAATTCAGCTCACTGCAACCTCTACCTCCCAGGTTCAAGCAATTCTCCTGCCTCAGCCTCTGGAGTAGCTGGGACCACAAGTGCCCACCACCACACTCAGATAATTTTCGTATTTTCAGTAGAGATGGGGTTTCACCATGTTCGCCCGGCTGGTCTTGAACTCCTGACCTCAGGTGATCCGCCTGCCTCAGCCTCCCAAAGTGCTGGAATTACAGGCATGAGCCACCATGCCCAGCCTACATTACTTTTTTCATACCGAATCTTCATTATCTGGGTGTGTATCTTACATCCCACCTCAGTTGGGATTGGCCAGAGTGCTCCATAGTCATGGGTGGCTGGTGGCTGCCGTACTGGAATATCTAAAGGGACAGGTGACCTGGAGCATCCCAGGCAGATGATAAGAGCAGGTGGGGGGCTGAGCACTTTCAGGCAGTAGGGAATAACTGTGGGTTCCTGAGAGCGTATCCTGACACAGCGCTCTGATGCTGCGAGTTTGGAGGCTACCAGTGAGCTAGAACAAGAAATTCAAGGACAGAGAGGTCAAAGGAGGAAACCCCAGCAGGTGACCAGCCCCACAAGTAGGCCTGGGAGCCTTGGCCCTTGCCCTCACCTGAGACTGGAGGAGACCCCAGACGGGGCCTGCAAGTATGAATTTACCTCCGTGGGGAGGTGGGCAGGTCACCGTGGCAGGCCCTGTTTGGGAGAAGGCTGTGGAGGACTCAGAGGCTGTTTTACGGTTCCTTCGGCTCCCCATTCATGGAAGCAGACTCACACCACATCCCGCCTGCCTGCTCCCGACGCCACCCCTGCAGCCCATAAAGGGTAATGAAGCTGAAGTTAAAATAGTCACATGAAACTCACTCATTTGAAAGGGCACCTGCTTTAAAGGCCAAATTTCCTGAGCCCAGGTTTATACATTAAGCTACAGAAAGACCTAATTAATTCAGACCCCACTCACGCTGAATTTGGGAGAAATTCTGCCTCAGGCTGGTCTGAAGCCTTTCCTTCTGCACTATCTATGAAGAAACGGTTTGCTAAGCAAATAAATAGTGCAGGCCAGATTACAGAGACGGGCCTGGCTTACTGAACTGTTTTTAAGAACTTTAAAAATCGCTTTAGCAGCCCCATTCCCAGAAAGTTAATGAGATCATTACAGCTGGTCCTTATCTATTTATTTCAGCATTTCAGCTTTCCCAGCGCCTTCATACCCATTAGTTAATGTATATTTTTTCAGCTTCCAGCAGCAGACTTAGCGCCTGGCACATCACTGGTACTTAATGTTGCTAAATGAATGAAGGTAGGCGTGGTAAACAGTATTAGTCCCATCTTACAGGTGAGAAAAAATGAGGCTCAGAGAAGTTCGTTAAAGTCAATTCTGTTAGGGCCGCAATGGCTTTGGGGTGTTCCTAGAGCTAGACCAGCCACGTAGCTAGTTCATGATGACATCAGAGCTGGAACCAAGGCTGGTGGCAGGTTCCTGTCTGCTCTGTTGTACGGTTACCAGGGCTGCTGCTCGACAGCAGTTTATTATCTGAATTTGAAGAATAGTTCAAATAGTTCTTAGGGACCGCAAAACAACAACAACAAAATCACTTTTCTTTTGTAAATTGCCTTCTCCCCAGGGAAGGGAATCACTGGGTTTTGGACTGGTGCCTCTCACTGACCAGCAACAGTCCCCTTCTGCGCAGCCGCAGATTCGGACACAGGCCTCCTGACACCCACCGTCCTCAGGATGTCAGGGCCAGTATAGGTCACTTTCCTCCCTGGGGCGGAAGAGCTGGAAGAAACGGGGACTGCTGCGAATCTCCCTGGGCCTGGCTCCTGCAGACAGTGCTTCCCGAGGCGAGGGCCTCCCAGGAAGGGTGGTCTTTGTCCTCTGGGTATACCTTTCCCTCGGATCCGGGGAGCACCCTCTGTGGGCTGGGTCTTTCTTGCCCCCGATGGGGGGGATAGGAAGAGATGGTCCCTGTCTCTCTTCCCTTTGTTCTGGAGGCTCTGCTGGCTTGGAACACTGCACAGGGAAAATTCCCTGACCGTGAGATCTGCAGGCTGCAGGGTCCCTGGGGAATGCTGGCCAGGGGCTCTTTCGAGCTGCAGCTGGAAGGAAGAGTTGGGTTTCAGTGAGCCGGAGCCGGGCTGGGGGACGGCAGCCTGCCTCCCTGGCGGTGAGGGAGCCAGTCCTGCGAGTCAGCGGTGCCAACAGCTTCCTGTCGAGAGCTGGGGGCCCACGTGATGGCTCCCCACTCAGTGGATTAGGGGGTGAAAGGCCCAAGAGGGAGGGAGAGCAGGAGGGGCACACAGGCGCTCTCTGGCCCAGCTCAAGGGTGAGAGGCAGAGCACCAAATCCTTTTTTGCAAAATGAATTCTGCTGGTTCCTGGTCACATGGTCCAGCAAGCCACTTTGGCCTGGGGTGGAGGGGGTGGGGATGGGGGTGTGGTGAGCCTGGGCACCGACTAGGGCCATGGGCTGTTTGTTCAAAAAGTCCTCTCCCCACAACCTGACTACACACACATCCCGCACAGCATCTGCCAGGGAGGAGAGAATGTGGTAGCCACAGCACTGTGTGGTGAAGAGGAGATGGGATCTGGCCGTGACGTGGGAAAGAACCCAGGGCTGGACTGAAGGGCAGTGCATTCTCTGACCACCCTGGCCTCTCCCGCACTGGACCCCCTGGGCCAAGGGCAGCTAAGGCCGGAGGACTGGGCTCCCACTAAAGCCGTTCTGACTAGGGACACCAGGCCTGGCCTAGAGATGCCCTGTTCTGTCCAATAAGCATTTATTGAACACCTACTATATATGGAAGTGTGCACAGATACCTGTCTTCAGGAGATAGACTCAAGATGACAAGCTCTGAGTATGACAGGGTGCCATGCAGGGCACACAGCGAAGCTAGGCACCCCGGGGTGCAGCCTTGGGGTTCAGAGAGGGCTCCCTGGAGTCAATGGTGCCTCACAGGGAGGAGGCGGCCAGCAGGGCAGTGAAGTCCCTAAGGACCCAGTGTAGCACTGGGCTTCTGGGGACAGTCACAGATCCCCACCTGTCAGGCAGACCTGAGCACACTGCCCTCCCATCACTACCTAAGAGTGGCCTAGAACCCCAAAGGCCTCCAGTGAGGAACAGTAAGCCCGCCACAGGCCCTGCCAGGGTGCCTGGGTCAACTGAGCTCACTTCCACTGTGTCTGGTCCATGCACCTTGGGAAGGATGTATTAGATATCGGGGAGTAGGAGGGGTGCCGGGCAGCTCACCGGGTGCGAGCTTTCCCCTTCACTGCCCCCCAGATGAAGACCTCGCAGCCCTGGAGCGAAAGCCCAGCACACCGACACTTCCCTAGTATCTGAGCTTTTGTGCTGTTAAACACCGAGGAGTCTTGGCCTCCCCCCGCAGGGGTTTCTGCTGCAGCTATCTGCCCTGGAGGTGATCTTTGTTCCAACTCTATCTCTATTGTTTACATAGCTCAGAGTTCCAAGGAGTTAGAAAAACATGCTTTCCTTTCCACTAAAGGTGCTATGAAAAACGGCCGTGCTGCAGAGGGGCAGGGGGAAGGGCCACGCGTGCAGTCAGGCCCCTCATTCCTGCAGGCTCATCTGCTCTCCAGAGGCCTCTGTCCAGGATACCTGCTTGTCACGCTCTCCCTGGAGCTGGCTCAGCCAGAGGCTCTGGGACATTCTAGAACTCTCACTGGGAGTTCTGGCTCTATGAATAGAGTTGTCCCTGCATGGAGTCCTACAGGCGGGGATGCCACCAAAAGAGGGGGCAGTGGAATGCTACTCCCATCTAATCTGGCCACCAACTGCCACCTTATCTGCAGGCCCTGACAAGGGTGATAGAGGCTGATGCCTGGAGGTCCAGCAGGCAGAACGATGTGGGGAAGGGCGCGGAGGGGGAAGCGGAGGGGGCGGGGAGAAGGAGATGAAAGGCGCCCCTACTCACCCCAGGAGGGACGAAGGCTCCTCCCTGCTTTAAAGCCAGCAGGTTCCTCCTCCGGGTATTCTCGCCAGCACCATTTTTCCTTCTTCACTACAGAGATCCTGCTTTTCTCTTGCTTCATTTGAGAAGAGTCCAGATGCAGCGGGTTGACGGGTTGACGTCTGAGTACTTGAGGGCTCTGGTGATGACGCCTCAGGGTCTCCACCTGAAGACTTGGTTCCATGCTCCCAGCCCTCGGGCAGACCTTGCTGCTGCCTCTAACAGTTTCCTCCTTCCTCCCACCCTCCCACCTCATCCCCTTCTCTGCCTGCAGCCCCTGTGTCTCCAGCGCATTCTCCCTCTGGGTCTCTGAGGCTTCGGCACTCACACTTGGCACACTGCTCATACTGTCCATCAGCCAACAAGCAGTGGGTCACGTCACTTCCCTTCCCTGGTTTTCGTGTCTATGAAACGGTGAAAGTCGTGGGTGGGGTGGGTTGTCTGATGGCCTTGAGAGTCCCTGCAAGCCCTTCTACCCCAAGACTCAAAGTACTTACTTATCAACGCCCTGATGCCTGAGCAGGCATTATGAAAAAAAAGAAGCTGCCCAATACCAGCCTGACCAACACAGCAAAACTCCATCTCTACTAAAAATACAAAATTAGCCGAGCATGGCGGTGCATGCCTGTAGTCCCAGCTACCTGGGAGGCTGAGGCAGGAGAATCATTTGAACCTGGGAGGCAGAGGTTGTGGTGAACCGAGATCATGCCATTGCAGTCCAGCCTGGGCGACAAGATCGAAAATCCATCTTAAAAAAAAAAAAAAAAGGCTGCCCAATATGTGCACTGGGACTCTCGACCCCTCTTCATCCCAGACCAGCCTAGGGCTGAGGAGTGATCCCTTTACAGATTCAAACTGCCACAGGTCAAATGATGGAATGGGGAGCAGCAGGTTGGGCTGGAACAAGCTGTTGCCCTACCTCTCTCCTTCTGAAAAATTCCCAAATGTTTCAGAGCCAAGAATCCCCCAAAGGAGTAGCTCAGTGTCTGGGGTTACAGAGACTGTTACTTCAGCAAGGCATACTACAAGCCATTTACTGGTTTAATTTAATTATTTGTGATAACACTTCAGAGTAAAAACTACACTTGTTAAAATAAAGAGGACTTTGTGCTGCAGTGATGCAGATTTTATTGTCGCATTACCTAATGCACCAAAACCTGGTAACCAGCACCAGATCTGCCGGCCACTGGGGCAAATCAGCGCTGGATGAGGAAGGCTGAAATGGATTATTGTTTCCAGGGGGAGTTATTTTCAACGATTCGAACACAATGGCATTTTGATTTTCCTCCACTCTGGTTGCATCCCCTTTTCCCTGGATAACCTGGTTTCTGCCGTTATTTGACTGTCGCCGTCCCCGTGTGCCCTCAGATAACCTCTGTTTCTTTGCACGTGCAGTTTCTGCTGCCTAAGATACCTTCCCCACTGCTCACTAGACAAATCATTCCTAACCCTGTCTGCACAACAGATTCCCCCATGGATTTGAGAAGAAATTTAGATTTGGCAAGGCGTGGTGCCTCACGCCTGTAGTCCAGCACTTTGGAAGCCTGAGGTGGGTGGATCACGAAGTCAGGAGTTTGAGACCAGCCTGGCCAACATGGTGAAACCCTGTCTCGGCTGAGAGTGGTGCCTCATGCCTGTAATTCCAGACTTTGGGAGGCTAAGGTAGGTGAATTACCTGAGGTCAGGAGTTTGAGACCATCCTGGCCAGCATGGGGAAATCCCATCTCTACTAAAAATACAAAAATTAGCCAGGTGTGGTAGTACATGCTTGTAATCCCAGCTACTCGGGAGGTTGAGGCAGGAGAAACGCTTGAACCCAGGGGACAGAGGTTGCAGTGAGCTGAGATTGCACCACTCCAGCCTGAGCAACAGAGTGAGACTCTATCTAAAAAAAGAAAGAAAGAAAGAAATTTAGATTCCCAGAAGCCACCCTGAAAAACTCCCACTGAGCTTAAATCTCGCCCCTCTATGAAGCCACCCCTGCAGTCCTTACCCGTCTGGCACGTTCTCCTCTGTGGCTCACCAGCCCTCGGCTCTTTTCTCAACAGCTTCTACTCCTTGACCATATGTTCTCTCAGGGCAGAGTCTTTCTCTTTTACCTCTGTATCCTCAGCCAAGCACAGTGTCTGCCCACGTGGAAGTTCAACAAAGGGTGGCAGGTTGCATGTTGGGCAGTATTTTGAGGAATTAAGAATTTGCTGGAATTATTCATACCAAGGCCAGGGCATCAGCTTCTGTCCTCACCCAGCGCCTGAACCCCTCTCTTCCCCACCTGGAACCTGCAGGGCCACATTCTTCCCTTGGCAGAAATGTCAAGGTCTTTTGGCCAAAAGACCTTTGAGGGTGAGAAATTCCTAGCTACACTGTGTGATGGGGCTTAGGGAGAGGTGAATTCACAGCAGAGTTTAATGGGCATGTAATCTGGCCTCACCATTCACAGCAAGTGTGTCAGGACCAGCTTCAGATACTTCTTATGATTGGCCCTTCCCTGAGTCCCAAGGTTAACAGGTTCTCTCAATACCCTACTGCCTCCCTCAGCCTCTGACACTCCATTATTCACAGCAATGACAGTGGTAATGACAGCGTAGGTGACCCGTGGCAAAATCTAATGATGAGTAAGGAAGGGAAATTTACCTGTGGAAGGCTCCATCTACTCATCTATCCATCCATCCATCCATCCATCCATCCATCCATCCATCCACCCATCCATCCATCCATCCATCCACCCACCCACCCATCCATCCTTTATCCATCCATCCCATTCATCCATCCACCCTTCCATCCATCCATCCATCCATCCATCCATCCATCCATCCATCCATCCATCAATCCATCCATCCATTTATCCACCCATCCATCCATCCACCCACCCACCCATCTATCCATCTACCCATCCATTTATTCATCCATTCACCCATCCATCCACCCACCCACCCACCTACCCACATAGTCATTTATTGCTAAGTCAGAAGGATACACACACACACACACACACACACACACACACACACACGACAAAGAAGACCTGATATCTGCAATTAAGGTACTTACAGTCTGGCTGGGGAGACAGATAGTAGCTACAATTCCAGTGCCCCAATCGCCATCCTCAATGACTCCATCTGTAGTAATTTCCCAGTGTTGGTGCTTTACCTTTACTAAGCACTTCCCATCTGAGCTGGGGGTCTGCCCAAGCAGAGGAAGGGTACTCCCCAGTTTTGCCATCTCTGAAACCAAGTTAGAACAGGTGGGCTCAGGGGTCCCTTCCTGCTCCAGTCCAGGTGGGTTTGTTTAGGAAGAACTCCTAGTACAGGGACTTCCTGGGGCCCACAGTCTGCAAATTGATGGCTTCCTGGAGGTGTTTCCTAAGCAGCCAGAAACTTTCAAAGAAGACCTGATAAGCCATGAAGTCAGAGCGACCTTGGGAGCTACTCAAACCAATGGTTGCACATTGGAATTGCTTGAGGGCCCTAGGGGAAGCAATGGCAGTGCCTGGAACCCAACTGGATCAGTAATTCCTCTGGTGACCCCAATATGCAGCTAGGGTTGAGAGCTGTGGACCTAACAAACGCTTCTATGCTTGAGGGATCTGAAGCCGGAGAGGTGTAACTTGAGTACAAACACACGTAGAAAGTGCAAAGCACAGAGCACAGACGCAGCGCAGCTGAGGCCCTGCCTTCCCATGATGCTGGCTGCTTCTCCACGTCTTCACGAAGGCTTGGTCCTTTCTCACCTCACCTCCCAAGATGACCAGGCCTTGCCGTCCCTGGAGGCCCTGCTCTGTCCCCATTCTGAGGACAGTGCCTAGCACTGTTCCTGACCCCTTGACGTGTCCTTTCCTAATGTCAGGAGGCAGAGGGACAGGCGGGTGGTGGGGGAGGCAGGCCTGGGTCTTGAGTCCAGAGAGGGGCTTTTGCCAGAGTAGATGGTGATCATTTGATTTAAACAAACGGGGCTTGTTCCTGGATGATGTTTGTCTGCAAGGGGCAGCAGCGCCATTCATCATGGCAGCTCCGAGGCTGGGGGCAAGAAGTCAGCTTTTCAGGTCCTCGGCCCACAGGGAGGAGCTTGGGGGCTGCTCTCCCAGGACTAGCCCCGAGATGTCGGGAAAGCTGATGAGCAGCGGGACAGCGGCTGCTTGTTACAGAGCGCCTGGGGCCCATTGTAACTGAGACCTTGAAATATACTTTGCAGTCAAATAACCAGCATCCTCCAGCCCAACAGCCAGCCAGCAAGTCCCCCCAGGGCCAGGCTGGTCCAGCCCGGCCCAGCCAGGTCCTCCCTTCCTATGCCTGAGGGAGAAAAACTCTCTCCCTCTCTTTGATTGGAAAGGATGGACTATGACTGCAGGAGATAGGTATAGCCAGATTATCTGACCATCCTCACTCTCCCTTCTCTCTAAATACACAACTGCAGCTCCGATACCACTCTTGTCACCCTGCCTAGATCTTGCTGGGTTTCCAGAAATCCACATGGCACTGTGGGTCCTTGGAGAACTTCTAAGGTGGGAGGACGGATCTCCCACAAGTCAGAAACTCCTGAAGCCGCTGAGAGCCCGCCTAAAATGCCTGTTCCATGGTCCTCCACTCCTGCGCCTCCTCCAAAGCCCACTTCAGAGATTACCAAGCTTGTAGAGCCTTCCCAGGCTTGCCAAGGCAGAGATGGTGGCCTGTCTCCTGCCCTGAATAAGTGTGTGGGTCATACCCTTAGCCCAGGTGAAGGCACGGGTCTATGAGCTCCTGGAGAACAGGGAGTAGTTTGTATTCCCGTCTGATCCCCAGAGGCCACCATATGCTTGACACCTGGGAGGCCTCAGGAAATGTGTGTGAAATGGACTCCTGTACTCCATCCATCTCATCCTTAGTGGACACATCCATCCAACACATGGTAAGAGGGCTCTGCACAAAGGGGGCTCTCACCCAGCAGCACGTGGGGCTGGGAGCGAGGAGCCCAGGTGAGAAGCCACTGGCTGGCCTCAGAGTAGGGTCTGTAGGAGAGGTATTTTGGGTCCATTTCTAGGGAAGGGATCCTGAGCAGCAGATGTCTAACTGGACAGTGGGGTAGCAGGAGGGAGTGAAGGCAGCGTTATGAAGCAGAAGGTAGCACTGCTGCTCTCTAGAGAATTTGCCCTCACCAGTGAGCCTCAGTTTACCACTGTACTCCACTCCATCCCGGTACTCACCTGCCACAGTGTGCCCCACTTCATCATGGGGTCCCTCAGCTCCCCCCCATGCCCTGCTTCATCATGGGGTATCTTGGCTTCCCACACTGTACCCCTTTCATCCCAGGGTACCTCAGCTCCCCACAGTGTACCCCAATTCACCCCAGGGCTACTCAGCTCCCCACTGTGTACCTCGCTGCATTGCAGTGCCGGGCAGCATACCACCTCATATGTCACCATGAGTACCCGAGAAGGGCTGTGTCTGGTGTTCGGCATGCTCTGTGAGGCGGCCATGGTCAGCGGAGGAAGTCTGTCTCTAAGCCTGCTGGCTGGGAGAGGAAGAGAGGAGAGACCAGGGGCCTCCGAGCAAGGGACAGAACAAGTGTCTCTGTGCTGCAGAGAGAAGTCGCCCATCACCTGTGCCAGCCCCACTGACACGCCAGGTGTCAAACCTCACTGCTATGGACATTCCAACCAAGTGGTTGTGTGCGCCTGTGTACTTGTGCATGTGTGTGTGTGTGTGTGTGTGTGTGAAATCACATCCCTGAACATTCGTTGTTTGCACAGGCATTGTGGCATTGTGCTGAGTGTTTTATGTATATCAACACATTCCATCTTTATCAACTCCTAGGGGGATGGTATAATTGAATCCATTTTACAGATAGGGAAACTTGAGACTCATCCAGAGTCACTTAGCTTATACATTGTAGAGTTGGAATCTGAACACTGACTTCCCTGACTCGAAAGTCTGTTGCCCCATGTCACAGAGAGCCCAGAGATCATTATCTTGTGCTGACAGTGGGGAAGGCAGAATGCGTCAGATGCAGCCAGGCCTGCCGGCCTCTGGTTAAAATTGGTTGCAGGCTTTCTGCCCCAGGGATAATTCCGAGGAGTTGAAGTTGACCGGTTATCCTGTGTACCAGGCTTAGTACAGAGAGGTTTCGCCTGCTTAAGGCAACCAGCCAATTCCTCCAGGCATCAAGCAGACTCCCTGCACACCTCACACGTGGTGTGGCTTCAGCCCCTTCAGCCCCTCCCTACACCCCCGTGTCCTTGACCTGCCATTGGGTTTGCAATGCCATCACCCAATCCCAATCCTTCCTGCTGTCTTTTGCATCCCTGCTTCCTGGCCTTAGAGTCCCACAGAAGCAAAGAGTACGAGGGTGAGGGTCATGCTGCCCAAGAGACTGCCTCCTCTCTCTTCCCTCAGTTCCTTCAACACTTGCAACTTAGATGGTTCAGGGCACAGGCTGGTCTTCTACAGCTAAGAAAACTCCACAGAGAACAGTGCCTGGTGCACAGGGCTGACACGTGCATCTGTGTAAGTTGCTTATAATATAGAGGCTCTCAGCCAAGTGACCAGGTGGGGTTGAACTCCCTCACCCCACAGAGATACTGTCTGCTCGCTAAGCCCCACACCCAGGAGGCTGTATCTTCCAGGGAAAGACGCGGTGTTTGTTCTCTGATTCACACAAAGGTGCTGTGTGTATGCTGTGGTCCCACTGGTGCTGAAGCACTGTACCTCATGAACAAATGAATGAGTAAGTCCAACGTATTCTCCAAACCTCAGCCATAGCAGTGGGCACACACCTGGGCACTTGGGCTCACTCCCTCTCCCTCCTCCACTTCCATTTCCGTATCTCCCCTTTCCACCTTCACTCTGTGCTCTGGGTAGAAAGCACTCTATTTTTTGAGATAGAGTTTCACTCTGTCACCCAGGCTGGAGTGCAGTGGTGCAATCTCTGCTCACTGAAACCTCCGCCTCCTGGGTTCAAGCGATTCTCCTGCCTCAGCCTCCCAAGTAGCTGGGATTACAGGTGCCCACCATCACACCCAGCTAATTTTTGTATTTTTAATAGAGATGGGGTTTCACTGTGTTGGCCCAGGCTGGTCTCGAACTCCTGACTTCAGGTGATCCACCCACCTCCGCCCTCCAAAGTGCTAGGATTACAGGCATGAGCCACTGTGCCCAGCCAGAAAGTGTTCTTTCCATTTTCCCAAAACCATCCTTGTTGGGGCAATCAGGGACAGTCCTGCCATCCAGGAGGACTTGCTCCCCCACTTCTCCCCTGCTTCTCTGGGAGTGGGGTAATTCTTTCTACTTACCTATTTATGTTTAACTTGTTTACATTATGATTAAAGTAAACATCAGTTACAGATCGTTGTGCAACCATCATCGTGATGTCTCCAGAACTTCTTAACTCTGGACCCATTCGACAACAGCTTCCGAGTCTTCCTTCCCCCGGTTCCTGGCAACCACTGTTCTGCTCTCTCTTCTCTCTGTTTCCATGAGTTTGACTATTTTAGATACCTCATGTAAATGGAATCATACAGTATTTGTCTTTTTGTGGCTAGCTTATTTCCTTTGGCATAATGTCCTCAGGTTCATCACGTCGGGACATGTGTCAGAATTTCCTTCCTTCTGATGGCTGCATAATATTCCATTGTGTATATATGCTACATTTTGTTAATCCATTCATCTATCGATGGGTGCTTGAGCTGCGTCCACTGTCTGTCTATTGTCAATAACATCACTGTGAATGCGTGAATATGGATCTTCCCTGCTTCTTAACATCCTCTCTATCTTCTTCTGTTTCTTTTTTTTTTTTTTAAGGCAGAGTTTTGTTCTTGTTGCCCAGGCTGGAGTGCACTGGCGTGATCTCAGCTCACGGCAACCTCTGCCTCCCAGGTTCAAGCCATTCTCTGCCTTAGCCTCCTGAGTAGCTGGGATTACAGGTGCCTGCCACCTTGCCTAGCTAATTTTTTGTATTTTTAGTAGACATGGGGTTTCACTATGCTGGCCAGGCTTGTCTCAAACTCCTGACCTCAGGTGATCCACCCACCTCTGTCTCCCGAAGTGCTGGGATTCAAAGCCTAGATTTGCCAGCACAGTCCCAGTTTCATAATTCTTTTTTTTTTTTTTTTTTGTTATTTCCACAATCCACAGAAAAGTCCTAGAAATTCCAATAAATTTTCTCCAGGGTCTTTTTTTTTTTTTTCGAGGTGGAGTCTTGCTCTGTCACTAGGTTGGAGTGGAGTGGTGTGATCTCGGCTCACTGCAACCTCGGCCTCCTGGGTTCGAGCCATTCTCCTGCCTTGACCTCCCCAGTAGCTGGGATTACAGGCACACACCACCACGCCTGGCTAATTTTTTTGTTGTTGAATTCTTAGTAGAAACAGGGTTTCACCATGTTGGCCAGACTGGTTTCGAACTCCTGACCTCAAACGATCTGCCTGCCTTGTCTCCCGCAGTGCTGGGATTCCAGGCATGAGCCACCATGCCCGGCCCTTCTTTGTCTTATATTCAGAAAAGGCACAAAAGTCCTTTATAAGATCCTGATTTTTGATGCAGGAAATTTTATCACTTTCAAAAGTCCCTCCCGCATTAAATTAGGAACTTTCATCCCTACCTGGCCTGGCCGCCTCCGGAACCAGGTCTGCCCTTCCTCGTCCTGCCAGCCCCCTCTCCAAGTGTTCCACACACTTCTTCTGCTTCCTCACCCCCTGCTACTTTCTTAATGCCCTGCAATCTGGCTTGTTGGTACAGTGCTAGTGAATCCACTCCTGCCAAGGTCACCAATGACTTCTGTTTGAAACAAGTGTCAATTGTTCTATTTCTTAGTTATCAAATAAATGCTCATTGCAGAAAAGTTGGCAAGTGCAGAGCATAGGAGCAGGAAAAGGATCCCACGTGCATTCTCACAGCACCCAGGGGCAACCGCCATGAGCATTCTGGCACATTTCCCTCCAGTCTCTTTTCCCTATGCCAAACATTGTCTTACTTTTCACCATCCTCGTCTTTCCTGATCCTGGTGGCACTTAAGGCTATTGAATGTTTTCTTCTCGAAACTCACTCCTTCAGCTTCTCTGCTTCCTGTTCCTACGCCACAGCCATTTCCTGTGTGAGCTGAGACTCACCAGGATGTAGACGGTGCCTCAGTTGAGTTTCCACAGGGGTACCAGGACCCTCTGTGAACACCGAGTGGTAACCTAGGGCATGTCCTTATCAGAAGGCAGGAATAGAGCTCAGGTGATAGACCCCAGCCAGCAAACCTCAAAGTAAACAACCGTGAAGTGCTCCTGTCCTCTTCCCTGTATGACAAGCTCGTGCCACCTTTCATGTCGCCTCTCCTGGAAGGTTTCATCTGACCGCCCCAGCAGGGCTGCTCACTGTCTCCTGATTCTCCTCATTTCCTCTCAGTGTGCTGCTGTTCACCTTTCTATCGCAGAAGTAACTGCGCTGACTTACAACAATCTATTTATGTGGCCGTGTCCCTTTCTAGACTGTCAGCTCTTAAGGGCAGGGACTCTCTCTTATTGATCCTTGTATGTCCTGAACCCAGTGGAAAGCTCACTGGCCAGCTCTGAGTCCCAGAGGCTACAGCTGACTTACCCAAGTTCACAAGGCCACATGCAGGCTGAGAATCCACCACAGCCAAGGCCAGTGAGACTCCTGGTTCTGAGTTCATTCTTTTTTTTGAGATGGAGTCTCACTTTTCGTTCTGTTGCCCAGGCTGGAGTACAATGGCGCAATCTCAGTTCACTGCAACCTCAGCCTCCCGGAAACTTGAGTGAGTCAGAGAGAAATGCTGCTCTTGGTGAATTGGGTAGTGTTCAAGCGATTGTCCTGCCTCACTCAGCCTGCCGAGTAGCTGGGACTAAAGGCACCCACCACCACACCCAGCTTTTTTTTTTTTTTTTTAAGTAGAGATGGGGTTTTGCCATGTTGGCCAGGCTGGTCTCAAACTCTTGACCTCAGGTGGTCCACCCACCACAGCCTCCCAAAGTGCTCGGATTACAGGTGTGAGCCACTGCAGCATGGCCGAGTTCTTTCTGTAACACAAGGTAGGAAGAGTTCTGGTGTGGCCAGTGGGACTCTCCAGGCCTCCACACACGCAGGAGCACTGTGGCACTGCGAGGAAGGTGAGGGAAAGTGGAAGCCCTGCCTGGTCTGCAGCTGTGCCCGATGCTGGGAGGGGCAGGCCATCCCCTACCCAATTCACCAAGAGCAGCGTTTCTCTCTGATTCGCTCAAGTTTCCCAGATTGGGACTCCAGAATCCCCACTCTGAAATTTCATCCAGGAAGCCCTTCCTTAAACATAACCCATCCTCTCTCTTCCAAACGTTTGAGCCATATAAATAGGGAGGCTCCAGGTCCTACCTGCTACAGAAAGGCAGATGGAGTTGAGAGACAGGGTGCATAGCTCTGATTAGGAGATCAGAGGGGAGTTAGGAAGGAGAGCCATCAGCATCCAGTCCTTAAGGATGGGTAGGATTTGACATGAAAACAAATGCAAGAAGGAAACAGCATGAGCCAAAACCTGGCATGAATTGGCGTGGGGAGCTGGAACACCGCTAGTCCGTCAGCAGCCTCCTAGGGCAACCTTCCCATGCTCTAAGGACACTCTCAAAATGACTCCTGGGCCCCTCCCATAGGTAAAACAGCTCCAGCAACCATATGAGGTGCTGCAGAGGGCAACGGGTGATGGAAGGACTGTGGGCTTTGGAGGCAAAACAAACCCTTCTGCCTTTTCTTTCTTTTTTGAGACAGAGTCTTGCTCTGTCTCCCAGGCTGAAGTGCAGTGGCGAGATCTCAGCTCACTGCAACCTCCACCTCCTGGGTTCAAGCGATTCTCCTGCCTCAGCCTCTTGAGTAGCTGGGACTACAGGCGCCCGCCACAACACCCAGCTAATTTTTATATTTTTAGTAGAGACGGGGATTTCGCCATATTGGCCAGGATGGTCTTGAACACCTGACCTCGTGATCCACTCGCCTTGGCCTCCCAAAGTGCTGGGATTACAGGCGTGAGCCACAATGCCCTGCCCTCTTCTGCCCTTTATTAGTTCTGTGACGGTGGGCAAGTCTCTGAGTCTCTGTTTCCTTATTAGTAAAATGGGATGATAATACCTACCCTGGGAAACTGTTGTAAGGATTAGAATGCCACATGTGTGGCAGGTACTCTAGTAAAGCACAGAAACCTCACTCTTGTTCCTGTTTTGAGAACGGCCCTGTCACACATGAACAACCCTGGGAAAGCGTGCCGTCACTGGAGGGTTTCCCGACCTGCGCCCTCACCCCTGGACACCAGCCTTTCTCCGTCACTTCTGTTTTTGCTGTAATAAGGTGGAGCCAGAAGATCTGGGTTCTTATTCCACTTGCCCATGTGACTTTGAACAAAGGATTTCAACTCCTGTTGAACCTTGTGAAACGGCGCTAGTATCTCCCACCCCACGGCTTGTTGGGGGGATTCATGAGCATTGTGTGTGAAAGCCCTTGCCGGCACACCCCAGGTGTTCAGTTGATGTTTTGGAAATTCTTGTCCTCTTCTCCCACCTCCCAGGGCCCAGTATGGGGTCCAGGCCTCGGCTGCAGGTCTGAGTTTCTGGGTGGTGGAATGGGGCGGGGTCGAGGCAGGGCCCGGAGATGAATGCATAAATAACCAGCCACCCTGGTCTCACTTCAAAAGTCCTGGTCTCCGACCCTTTAATCATGGAGCTGCTCTTCCCTGGACACCTTCCAGGGCCCCGCCCGCCTGCTTCCTATGCAGAGGCGAGCTGTGGAAGCAGCCTGCATCTATGCATCTTTGCATGCCATGTTTGCTAATGGATCCCAGGAACCCGAGGAGCTGACTCTCTCAGCGGACCCACCCCATACCCCACATCCCTCACCCCACGTGGCTCCCCCTGCCTCATGGGCTTGGCTCTGGGCTCCCCACCATCACTGCCCTCTGTGACCAGCCTGCCTCTGCCCAGCTCTCCCAGGGTAGAAAATGTGTTAGACAGGACAGCCTCCACCTCTCACTGGTGAACTTACCGAACAAACCAAAGCATCGGTCCCCAAGGCCCCAAGTTCCAAACGTTCTCATGGGACAATGGAAACCTAATATTAGAAAGTGAGCCGGTCTCAGAAAATCCAGGACATGTGTTTGCCATGTTGGTCACCAGCCCCCCTCACTGCCAGCGAACCTCTCTTTATGCAAGGCGGAGTATTCCTTTGGGATCAGGAGTGAGAAGTATGTTGGGGGTGGGGGCAGGGAGGAGGATTGCATATGAAATCACATTTGGCAACTTGAGTTGTATTTTTAATGCACTAATAGAGTTGGCTTCTTGAAGAAAAGAACTAGTGATTCGTTTTCATATGGGAATGAATTCATATGGGAAAGAGCTCCAGTGGAAGGAGCTATTTTTAGATTTGCATATACTGGATTTGCTTCAACTGAGGCACACCGGTATTCAGTTGCAAGCCTTTCATTTGAGGTTTCCTTCTCTGAGTTTCCTTGGTACTAGAATTCAACTGCCAGTTCTGTGATTTGCACTCCTCCCTAAGGGAGAGGAGGTGTGGGTGGCAGGGCACAGTGGATGGCACCTGGCCACTGACACCGGTGGGCCTGCGTTTGAATCTCTGCCCACTACATCCAGCCAGGTACCCTTACACTACCTGATGGACTGCTGAGCTGGGATAGGGGGAAAGAGGGAGACACAGGGTGGGAATGGGGGCAATAAGCTCCCCTGATAGATCAGGTGGGATGATTAAATTAGGTCATAGGAGAGACAAGACCACAAGACTCCCTCCCCCCAGCATTCTGCCTTCAGAAGTTCTCAAGAAAGAACATCTGCTAGCGCGGGAGCACATCTGCCCATCCCCACAGCACACCGTCTCTGCTAACCTGTGCGCATCTTGCCTTTGTAAATCATCTTCAACCAGAGCTCCCCTTATCTCAGAAGAGCTCCCCCCTCCTGAGTTCTGAGCTCTGGCAGACAATGAAGCCCCAAGATTACAGCAGACCAAGGCACCTTTCCATGAGAATCCCTGCTGATCGCTGCCTCCTGCACCCAGGCACAGCTAGCCCCAGGCACCGTCAGAAGTCACAGAATCCTAGAATCCCAGGGCCAGGAGTGTTCTCCTGTGGTGCAAATAGAGAAACTGAGGCCAGGAGAGGCATGCCTTCCTCAAGGTCCCCAGGGCTGGTTAGTGGCAGAACCAGCAGGAGGGCAAGACTCCTGTGAGACCCAGGTTGTCCCCTGTCACTCCTGCTTCCCCTGGAGGGCTAGCTGCCCTGAGAGCCTGCATTCTCCCCAGGCAAGGACAGTGCCCCTCGTTAGTCCACGCCCAGAGCTCTGAGTAAGTGGTGTCGGCTGATGGCTGACAACATCCTTCACAAAGGGAGATTTTAAAAGAGCCCCGGAAACCTGGCTTCCCATCCTTGTCTTTGAGAGGTAACGTGGTATTGGGAAAGAATGTGGACCTGGAGCCAAGCCACTTGGGTTCTGGTAGAAACGAAACGAGCTCACATGGGCGGAGTGACAGGAGAAGGGTCCAGCTCGTGGCAGGCGCTGGACAGTGGAGGCCGTTATCTGGAATGCTAGTCCTGATTCTGCTACTGAGTGGCCTCAGGCAAGTCAACCAGAGTCAACCAACCTCTCAGAGTCTCGATTTGCTGGAAAATAGGAACAATAACACATCCCCGGCCTACCTCTCAGGGAGTTAATTCCCCCAGGGTCTCTGCAGGGCTTTGCAGAGCAGACGACTCTTGAGAGCTGAGATGGGCTCGCTACAGGTTCAAGGCAAGGGTGGGAGTTCCTACGGTGGGCGTGGCAGCTCACACCCGTAATCTCAGCACTTTGGGAGATGGAAGCAGGTGGATCACTTGAGGTCAGGAGTTCAAGACCAGCCTAGCCAACGTGGTGAGACCCTGGCTCTAACAAAAACATAAAAAATTAGCCGGGTGTGGTGGCACGCGCCTGTAATCCTAGCTACTCAGGAGACTGAGGTAGGACACTCGCTTGAACCTGGGAAGCAGAGGTTGCAGTGAGCTGAGATCACACCACTGCACTCCAGCCTGGGTGACAGAGCAAGACTCCCTCTCAAAAAAAACAAAAACAAAAACATGGGAGTTCCAGGTAGAGGGAGCCACAAGGGACAGTGATTCAAGGAGGAAACTATGGGATGGAGAAAGGGGACCCTTTGTGGTAGCCACTGAAAACAAAGCCCTGAAGTGCCCATGTGCACACTGCCAACCTTCATGCCCATCTATCACCTGGAGACTGTGGTCCCAAGGGGAACCAACACTTCCTGAGCCCCTCCTGCCTGCCTCGGTGCAGCACCCCTTCTTCAGTCCTCGCAGAGTCCCGGGGGTCCCATTACTCCTACACGTGAACACCGCTTGCCTCAAAGTCACACAGGTGGCGTGTGGGGGAGCCACAGTGGACCCCCGACGCGTGGGGTCCACGGTCTGTGGCCATCCTCCTGTGTGCCACAGCCTGAACTTCTCCTGTCTTCAGAGCTTATCTGGCACCCAGCCTCTGAGGCTAGCAGCTGCTCCCCTGGAAGGACTCCTAGAAAGGTAATGTCCTGGCCAAGACTCAGGAGCAGGACTTCACCTGGCTCCTGGAACTCGGAGAACAGGTGTGTGGAAGACCTCTGCACTCACGTGCAAGCCCGTGTGTGTGTGAGCGTGTGTGTGTGCATGTGTCTGTACTTTTCGGAGACGCAGCTTCTAGCCCTCACCAGATCTTTTGTTGTTGTTGAGATGGAGTTTCACTCTTGCTGCCCAGGCTGGAGTGTAGTGGTGTGATCTCGGCTCTCCACAACCTCTGCCTCCCAGGTTCAAGTGATTCTCCTGACTCAGCCTCCTGAGTAGCTGAGATTACAGGCATGCGCCACCACACCCAGCTAATTTTGTATTTTTAGCAGAGATGGGGTTTCTTCATGTTGGTTAGGCTGGTCTCGAACTGTCGACCTCAGGTGATCTGCCCGCCTCGGCCTCCCAAAGTGTTGGGACTACAGGCATGAGCCACCGTGCCCAGTGCCCTCACCAGATTTTCTAGAAAGGCCGTGTCCCAGAATGGCTAGGAACCTCCGGGCCCCACATTCTCCGCAGGCCCACTTATCGTTCCTCCACACTGACAGTGTGCACGGCCCCTGGAAGTGCAGGTGACAAACGGGCTTGGCCCGGCTGGCTCCAGGCCCTGCAGCAGGAGGGCAGCGAAGCACCCACAGCTCAGGCTCCAGGAAGCTCCAGTCACCTCCGGAAAGACCCTCGTGCAGACCGTTTCTTTCTACTGCATCCTCTGTGGAGCTAGGTCTGGGCAGCAGGAGACTGGGGGAGGCTGGCAGGTCCAGCGCACGGGGACTGCAATGAAGGGGCAGCTTGGGTTTGGGATTCGGGAGGCATCTGGGTGGGGTGTGCTGTCAGAGGAGCAGCTGGCGCTGGGCTGTGGGCGCTGACAGAGCAGAGAGGATCTGCCCTTCCCCCTGGGGTCTGGGCAGATGAAGAATGAGTGACAACAGCAGGTCCAAGCCAAGCGGCCTCTTCAGCCACCACGGAGGCCCCAGAAATACCAACGTTAGGAGGGGCCATGGGGGGACAGAGGCCTAACGGCCTGTCACTTGGGTCTCTGCCAGGCCATCCTTCAAGCCCTGGTCACACTGGCTGCCCCTCCCGGGCACCCTTCTCTGCCATCAGACCCTGCCTTCCCTCTCCTTGAGCTTCCTCTCCTATCAGGCTCCTACACCGTACTCAGAAAGACCTTGTATGTTTTTCAAATTAATGCAATTAAGAGCATTAAAGTTTGAGAACGACTGAGTTTTTCATTTTCCTTTCATTTGATTAGAGAAATTCCCACCGCACAGTTCCTCCAAATGAAACCCAGACCCGAGGCCCATTGTTCCGGGGCTTCCATGAGAATGTGTTACCTTTCAATCTCACACACTAATGTGTTTAGCGTTACAGTCCCCCCCGGGCAGCTGCAGGAAGGATCTGGAGCCTTGATTAAAGCGGCCTTTGCCAGGCAGGAATGTGGGCTCCTCCGCCTGGGAGTCACCAAGGGGCTGGATGTTTGCTCTACAGGGCCTCTACTCGGATGGCCGGCTGGGGACTGGGCTCGATGGCCATCGTGCCTGCGTGTCATCAGGCCTGCGTCCTGCTCACTTGTCTTTCTGTGGGGCCTGCTGCTGAGCCCCAGCACAGTCACATGCTTACAACACAATCCCACCCTCCCCCAACACACACACACACACACACACACACACACACACCACATACACATATACATGTACACGCATACACTCATATGCACACCACACACCTGTACACACACAACACACACATGTACGCACAACACACATACATGCACATGCAACACACACATGCATGTACACACATACACACTCATGCACACCACACATGTGTACACACACAACACACACGTGCGCGTACACACAACACACATGTGCACACATGCATAACACATACATACACACATGTACATGCATACACACACCACACACACACACCACACACACACACACCCCTCTCTTGTCTCCTCTGCTCTTCTCATCCTCCTCCCTATTCTTTTTCTCCTCTCCTCTTCCCATCTTCGGGTCTCGCAGTGGGGCCTTGGGCTTTGCGGGAGCCTCCCTTTAGCCAGTTCTGTTCAGAGGCAGATTCAAGAAATCACCCTGCCCCTCCCTCGGTCAGGCCCAATGCTCCAAGGTAGAGGGCAGAGTCAGAGCCAAAAGTTAAAAATTGATTAGAGGAGTATGTAAGGAAGGCCTGGGAGAGGGAGGAGGGGGTCATAACCCCTGTTAAAAAATTCAGCTAATGCCAAATTTAAACAGGATGTTAAGTCTATGTCCCGCCCACCCCAAATCACCAAAGGCTCAGCACGGGAGGCCCAGGTTCCTTCCTCTTCCAACGGGGGCAGCTGGTCCAGGCCCCAGGGTGCCCAATGCCCTGGGACAGGAAGCTGCCGGGACTTGCCTGCCCCAAGGCTTATGTCCCGAGATCTTTCACAGCCCAAGCCAGGGTCCTAGGAGACCCCACCAGGACCTGGCCCAAATTAGGCCAAACGGAAAAACAATCCAGCTTGTGAACTAGAATCCAAACTAAAAATAAGCCTGTCCACTCTCACAGGCAGCTCGGTTACTCCTGGGTCCCCTGGAGTTGGGGAGAGGCTGGGAGAGAAATGAGATGCCTCCTCACCCCCGACTTCAAAGCTGCCTTGACCTTGGGGCATGCCCAGATGCCTCAGAGTCATTCCACAAACATTCAGGGAGGCCCGCACCTTGTAGAGCATGGCCTGCATTGCAGGGGCTCAGAGAGGAGTGTTCTCTTCCTCCAGGGGAGTTAAAGAAGTGGGCAGATGGCCGAGCATGGTGGCTCAGGCCTGTAATCCCAGCACTTTGGGAGGCCGTGGCAGGTGGATCACCTGAGGTCAGGAGTTCGAGACCAGCCTGGCCAATATGGTGAAACCCTGTCTCTACTAAAAGTACAAAAATTAGCCAGGAATCTACTAAAACTACAAAAATTAGCCAGGCATGGTGGTGTGAACCTATAGACCCAGCTATGGGGGGCCGGGGTTGGGGGCTGGGGCAAGAGAGTCGCTTGAACCCAGAAGGCGGAGGCTAAGTGAGCTGAGATTGCGCCATTGCACCTGAGCCTGGGTGACACAGCGAGATTCTGTCTCAAAAAAAAAAAAAGTGGGCAGCTTACTACTTCAGGTTGTCCCTTGTGATAACATTTTTAAAGGGAGATGAGTCCTCCCCAAACCCCAACCTGGATAGCAGAGACAAACCCATACTTGGAGATAGAAGACTTACCTGGCCCCTCCGCACTAAGGCAGGGACTTACCCCAGACCTCCACCTGCAGTCCCCCTTCCAGGCTTCTGCTGAGCTCCGCACTGGGGTATAAATCCCAAGCAATCACATGCACAGATTTGCTTTTTAGAAAGCCTACCTTAGGCCAGGTGCCATGGCTCACACCTGTAATCCCAACACTTTGGGAGGCTGAGGAAGGAGGATGACTTGAGCCTAGGAGTTTGAGACCAGTCTAGGCAACAGAGAGGTCCCCTCTCTACAAAAAATGTAAACATTAGCTGGGCATGTTGGTGCATGCCTGTGGTCCCAGCTGCTCAGGAGGATGATGTGGGAGGATCACTTGAGCCCGGGTGGCTGAGGCTGCAGTAAGCCCTGACCTCCCCACTGAACTCCAGCCTGAATAACACAGTGAGACCTGTCTCGGGGGGGGGGTGGGTGGGTGAAGGCTGCCCTATAGAGAAGCTTGGAGACACAAGAGTAGAGGCAGGAAGACCAATGTCTACCTGAGTCAAGGAAGATGAAGGCTGGATTAAACCTATGACGGAGGGCAGGGAGAAGTGGGAGGCAGAGGGCGTGACTCAGCCGGGTCCTGAACCAGCTCCCCTCCTCCCACCTGGGCCCCTCCTCCCACCTGGGCCGCTGCCTCATTTACTCTTCCCAGCGCATGGGCTGGGCAAGCTGGGGACTGATCTGCAAGGCTAAGTGAGGGGAATTCACCAGCCTTTTGTTCATGCAGACACTCAAGCAATACTTGGCCGATGAGACACGTCCACCCACACCTTTAAGCTGTGCCTCCCCGTGCAGGGCCTAGAAGGTCTAACCCTTGGATCAGTCCCAGGGTTCTGCCAAAAACATCTGTTAGGGCCAAGAGCCCCCAGGGAGCAGAATCAGAATGTGAACTGCATTTGGATGAAGAAGGAGTTGGAGAACGCAGCATAAGAGAATCTGGAGTGCAGTGGAACCTGCTCAGGAATTTGGCTTCACGTCCAAGGTGATTCTTCCCAGACGATCACCTAACGTGGGTATCTCTGGGTCACCCATGCTGCAGGGAAGACTGGGAGGGGGTGGATGACGCCAAAGGTGAATAATCCAGAGACTATTTCTCATTATCTCTATTGGACTCTACCAGCTGGCTTTTTTCCCCCTCTGCTGGGAAATATGCTTCCCTAAGCAAGAATTTCTTTGACTATTTTTCAAAATTTACTCATGATTTCCAACCACGAGCAATGCCTCCCCCAAGATGATTAGGCTTGGCTTGATCCTGAGCTCCCTTCAAACCACACAGACAGAAAGCAGAGACAAAGAACCATGCAGGGGCCACACCAGAGCCAGTGCCCATGCCCTGGGGTCCTCTGTGGCACCAGGAGACTGCGGGGAAGACAGTTAGTACTCTAGCCTGCACACATTGCTCCCTCCCCACTTAGCCCGCAGTCCAAAAGGCACTGCAGCAAGGATTCGTCTCCGAGTTCCAGTTTTCATGGAAACGAATCATTTATCTCAGAGCACAGCAGGAAAAATGGAATTTCCTTTCTTTTTTTTTTTTTTTTTTTTTTGAGATGGACTCTTGCCCTATCACCCAGGCTGGAGTGCAGTGGTGTAATGTCGGCTCACCGCAACCTCCACCTCCTGGGTCCAGGGGATTCTCCTGCCTCAGCCTCCCGAGTAGCTGGGATTACAGGTGAGTAATGCCACCACACCCAGCTAATTTTTGTATTTTTAGTAGAGACAGGGTTTCGCCATGGTGGCCAGGCTGGTCTCTAACTCCTGACCTAGTGATCTGCCCACCTTGGCCTCCCAAAGTGCTGGGATTACAGGCGTGAGCCACTGCACCCGGCCCGAATTCCCTTTCCGAAATACAAATAGACTAAATCCCCCTTCGCTTTCTTGCTTTAAAAAAAAGAAAAATCCGAAAGCTGCTGCCATTTGCTGTGCTGGATGCTGGATGATCATTCCGAAAGGCAGGAGAATAAATCCAGACGCCGGGCCAGGCTCTTTGCCTGGTCCTGGTGGAGCTGCCACAGCCACCCTTGAGTTTGGCAGGGGCTCAGGAAGGACAGGAGAGGGGCCGGGGGCGGGGGGCAACCTGATTTAGGAAAGCAATGGCCTTGAGAAGGAGGCCTGGAATTCTGAGCCAAGAGCCTGAGTGTCTTCAGGAAGAGTTTCACAGATTACTGTCTGTCTAGCTGGTTGCCCAGGTCCCAGCCCACGCCTTTTCTCCACATCAACCCACAGGAGCCAGCACTGAAGCTTTGTCAGCGGTGTGCCCTCTGCCTCAACAGACAACCCTCTCCACGGCAACCCTGGTGCTGGCTCCTACTGGCTCTTACCCTGTGCCAGGCTGCATTCCCTCACTAAAGATCCTTAAGTGGGTACTAACACTAGCCCCAGTTTACAGATTATGGAACCGAGGCTCTGAGAGTTCAGATCTTCTCCCTTAGGTCACACAGCTAATAAGAGGCAGAACCAGGATGGGAACCCAGGTCTCTGATTCTGAGCCTGTGCTCTTCATTTCTAAGCTCGCTTGTGTCTGATGGTGGTTCTGGTCCACCTTGCCAGCCTTCTCTGCCCTGTTCCTTAGATAGACCATGCAGTTCAGCCCCATACATGAGCCCCCTGCTGTCTTCCTAGACTGCCTCCTCCACCTGCCATGCCCCTCAGCCTCACCTCCAACTACATCACTCTACCCTGCTTCTGCGTGCCAAAAAAGGCATCTCCCTCTTCTGGGCCCCTGTGCCATTTTGTTTTTCTTAGTGGTTTTCAGAGTGTCTCCCTGGGCCAGCAACATCAGCATCAGATCCCACCCCAGACCGGCTGCATCAGAAACTCCAGGCACAGGGCCCAACGACCTGCGTTTGAACAAGCCCTCCAGGTGATCCTGACGCATGCTCAGGTCTGAGAACCACTGGGCTACCTCCTGTTTCTCCAGACTCCAGCAAGTCTAGGTGACCGTTAAGGGTAAGGTTAGCTCTTGTTGTGGCCTTTGACACCTGAGTGCAACTCATCAGGTCTATTATAAAGGAATTCTGAGTGTGATTAATAATCAAGTGGGTAAAGCTTTTTTGGCCTCTGCTGCTGCTTTCCATTCCACTACCTGGCATCCTGTTCTGGAACAGCTGATAAAAGTAATCATTGCCATATGGACATTATCACCACACCCTTCAGAACGAGCTCAGTACCCTCATCCATTGGCTTCTCACCTCAAGTGGGGCCTGAGGCTCTCTATAAAAATCACCTGAGACCGTCAGTATCTCAGCCTCAAGGAATTTTTCCAGGTTTTGTCACTGAACTGCCTGCCTAACTCCCTCCTGGCCTTCTCCCTGAGGTGTCTTAACACAGCCCACAGCCCACAGCCCAGCCCTGGCCCCTTAGGGAATGTCCTCCCCAACCCATATGTCCTGAAGGTGAAAGCAGATCACCTTACTGATGGAATCTCCAACTCTGGTCATGATGTTGTCTGTTTCTTTCTTTAATTCTGCCAAGTTTTGTTTCTTGTTTTTGAAGCACTGTTAATAGTTGCATACATGGTTATGACTGTTTTCCCTTCCTGATGAATTGACCCTTTCACCATAATAAAAAAGCCTTCTTTTTCTCTGGTAAGATCCTTTATCTTGAACTCTATTTTATCTGATATTAAGGCAGCCTCTCCAGCTTTTAAACATATATAATTTTTCATCCATTTATTTTCACCTAACTTGTGTCTTTATATTTAAAATTCATCTCTTGTAGACTGCAAATAGGTCTTTTTTTAAAAAAAAAAAAAATCTATTCCAACAATCTCTGCCTTTCAGTTGGAATGTTTTGTCCATTAACATTTAATATAATTATTGATATGGTTGAATTTTATTTTATTTGTTCCCTCTATTTTTTATTTCTCTGTTCCTACTTCCCTGACTTTAAAAATTTTTTTATTTTTAGAATGCCATTTATTTTTTTTATTTTATTTTACTAAAAAGGAATTTCTTTTGAGACAGAGTCTTGCTCTTGCTGCCCAGGCAGGAGCTCACTGATGGGTTCAAGCAATTCTCCTGCCTCAGCCTCCTGAGTAGCTGGGATTACAGGTGCACACCTCCAGGCCCAGCTAATTTTTTGTATTTTTAGTAGAGACGGGGTTCCACCATATTGGCTAGCCTGGTCTCAAACTCCTGAACTTGGGTGATCCACTCACCTCAGCCTCCCAAAGTGCTGGGATAACAGGCATGAGCCATTGCACCCAGCCTAGAATGCCATTTAAATCTATCTATTGGATTTGTAATTATACGTCTTTATATGAATTTTTAAATGGTTGCCCCAGGGATTACAACGCATTGTTAACTTTTCACAGTCCACTTAGTTACTATTTCGAGTTAGATATAGAAACCACTGCCCCTACACTTTATGCTATAGTTATCATATGTATTACATCTACACACGTTATAACACAAGGCAATGTTTTTTGACTTTTACTTTAAATAATCATGTGAATTTTAGAGCAATTAAGAAGGCTCATTGCCAAAGAGAACCTAAAAATTCGATGAGGTCCTTCTCAAGAATCTGATATTGCTTGTTGTTAGGGAAGGAAACCTGAATCTTTCAATGTTCTTTCACTTACTTCTAGCTGAAGGTGAATTCTGGGGCCGCAGATCAGAGCCACAGCTGATCAATCTTTATCTTGCTGTTGAAAGTCTTCATCAAGCCTCCCGAGCCCTGGCCTTCCACTGTTTCCCGCGGGTCCTTGGTGGTCAGACGTGAGGACCCAGAGTGAATATGCAGATTAAGCTTCATCAGTATCCTGTCTTCCTCTGCCTCTCTAACAAGAGGCCCTTTTGCTGATCTTTTTATGAGTTGTTTTTTTTCCTCACCTCTCCCCCTAGTTTATATAGATCCTGAAGGTAAGGAATCTGGTCTTATGCATCGTAGGCACTCAGACAACTTTGCTGAAAGAGCGAATGAACCCTGCTCACGCCTGTAATTCCAGCCTTTTGGGAGGCCAAGACATGTGGATTACAAGGTCAGGAGATTGAGACCACCCTGGCTAACATGGTGAAACCCCGTTTCTACTAAAAATACAAAAAGTTAGCCAGGCATGGTGGCAGGCACCTGTAGTCCCAGCTACTCGGGAGGCTGAGGCAGGAGAATCACTTGAACCCAGGAGACAGAGCTTGCAGTGAGCTGAGATCGTGCCACTGCACTCCAGCCTGGGTGGCAGAGCCAGACTACCTCTCAAAAAAAAAGAGCAAATGAACCCTGAGTGCATCTTCTGGTCCTTCTAAGGGCAGTCATGAGCAGAAGGGAAAGTGTGCAGGGAAGAGAAGGAGGTGCGTAGGTATAGATGCCTCAGGAGTGACGGCAAATCATTTCCAGGGGCAGGAGGTATATACAGCCAAAAGCATCACTGTGGATGGATGGGGGGATTGCAAGAGCCAAGGGTTGACTGTGATGAAATGTAAATGTGGGCGTAGAGAATGTGAAGTCTGCAAAGTGGAACAGGGGGAGGCTACCAGGCCAGGATGTGTGGGTGGAACCAGGATTTTCAGCGCACTTGTGTGTACCTGGAGGAAGTATGTCCTGGGCCACCCAGAGCTGCTGACACTGCAGCCTGGAGGGCTGAGGCTTTTTAGAGAAACCATTCATCTGGTGACAGGGAGAAGAATGAGACAGTGGCCAGGGCCAGGGTAGGCGCAGGGCTGTGGGCTTCACCATAAGGGAGGCAAGCGGAGGGTGCTTGCAGGAGACACAGAGAGTCGGGGTTCAAGGGAGTGGAATGGAGCCTGATCAGAAAAGGCCCTTTGTTCTGGAACAAAGGGGCCCGAGAGTGTCCTCTGACCTAAGCCTCAGGAGGAAGAAGGACATCTTGGCACAGCAGGGCCTCCCAGGGGTCAGGATAAAGGAGGAGCCCGTGACTGGGAAGAGGTGGAACTGGGAGTGCCTCTGAGTCATGCCCTCAGCCTGTGCCAGGCTAATTGAATGACATGAGACCTGCAATACCTAATTTCATAGGAAATATGACAATGGAGTAGTGGGCCAGGTTTTTGCATGTGGCTTGTAGAAGGAAAGCTGACAAGGAGCAGAGATGGAGCAGGAACAAGCCGCAGCACGCTTCAACTCATGAAAGCCAGTTAGCCAGCTGGGATGAAGGAAGTGCCTGTCGATTCAAGCTAGGGGAAAATGAGTGACCGTTATTTTGAGTGAGGAATTTATATCCAACATGGTATGAGGTTAAACAAATCTGCAGTGAGACTTGACCTGTTATAACAATCTTAAGTGTTTTGGGCCCATGGCAGGAGGGGCAGGCAAAGGCACAGCTGCTTGTGAGACCTACGGTGTGCATGTCCCCACGCCAGCCTGCCTACTAGGAGAGTGCCGCTCTCAAGCGTTGGGGGATCTGGAACTCAGGCACTGTGAGAGTTTGGGGTCGCTGGAATTTTCCTATCTTGTAACACAGAATAGCTGCTCTTTCATGCATTAAACTTCTTTCTGACACCATGTGGTCAGCATGATTGCAAAAAGACAGTGTCAGCTGGGCGTGGTGGCTCACGCCTGTAATCCCAGCACTTTGAGAGGCCAAGGTGGGCAGATCACCTCAGGTCAGGAGTTTGAGACCAGCCTGACCAACATGGAGAAACCCAGTCTGTACTAAAATTACAAAATTAGTCAGGCGTGGTGGTGCATGCCTGTCATCCCAGCTACTCGGGAGGCTGAGGCAGGAGAATCGCTTGAACCTGGGAGGTGGAGGTTGTGGTGAGCCGAGATCATGCCACTGCACTCCAGCCTGGGCAACAAGAGCAAAACTCCATCTCAAAAAAAAAAAAAAAAAAGACAGCATTAGGCCTTTCATTAGGCTTCTGGGGATTCAAGCCACAAAGAGTGTGAACCCCTCCCCCAGCCCCTTCCCCGAGAGGAAATGCCTGAGTATTTGAAAATGCTCTTTTACTTCCAGTCCGGTCCAGCTGCGGCTTCCCTTACATTCAAGGTGACTGCCATTGCGGTTGATTGAGGTCCTGGACAAACTGGATCTTTGCAGAATTCAAAACAGATCCAAACAACTCCTGAAGGCCACCAGCCTTCTTCAGGAAGCCTCCTCCAGTCTGGGAGTATAGAGGCCACTGCTCCGGGCAGATCTCTTGGCTCAGAGACAAATGTACTGAGCTCGTTTTCGGCTGGAGCAGCCGATCCAGTTCTGTAAGGTGGTCCTGCTTCTCTCCTGCTTCTCTGCCCAGTACGGGGGTCAGCGGGGCTTCCTCCTAGTCTTTATGAAGTGGGCTGCACCTCACTGTGGGGAATTCTGAATGCAGCAAGGTGGTCAGGATCAATGGGGCAGGATGTCCCTTTCTGGACTCTACCACGTGAATGGTTCTGCCTGGACACTTGGAAGTTTAAGCAGATTCATCCCGCTTGATGTTCTACAGGGGGATCTTTCAAAGAAATGACTAAATTCCTGGTAGATAGCCAAATCACAGAAAAAATCAGCTACAACTTTATCAAACCACTAAAGTAAGCATTTCGCCTAATTACAGGTGTGCAGCGTGGTTGTCTTTCTGGTTCTCGTGTCCCATCCCTGCTCCTCCAGGCAGGGGCAGGTGAGCCCATGTGCTGACTTGGACTCAGTCGCCTCTCCGTGTCGCCAGTTTCTGTTTTCTTCATCTGCCCATGATGACAGGGACCTAGAGACCCTATTTATAGTTCTTCAATACCTGGTGGTTATACTGCGATGCCTGGTGTTGCAATTGGCACCGGCTCATGAGGGCTTTTCTGCTGCCAACGCTTCGTGCTTCTCACCCCGTCCTTCATCATGTCACCCTCCACCGGTTTGTCCCATAGCCTTGCTTCCCCAGGGTGCTGCATCCAGCCTCTATCAGCATCACCCTTGCTCCCCCAAGGTGCTGCATCCAGCCCCTATCAGCATCACTCTCAAGGTTCCCTCCTGCAGGTCCATGCTGTCTATAGCCCTCAGCTGTGTGGGCTCGGAAGACGGGGTCATTGTTGCACAAAGCCACTTTGTGACCAAAAGCCCTTCAGCCGAGCATGGACATCAAGGTGAACAGTTGGCATTTTGACACCTGCCTACTTATTTTTTGTTTCCCACTACACATCAGTATTGCAATCCCAATTCTATACCTCAAATGCTTTCTGATTAGTCTATCGGCACACAGAACATTCCTTCAGCACGGCATTGTCGCAGTGACTGCCACAATCGTCCCAAGCCATTAATTCATAAGAGTCATCACATTAATAGTTTAAAGTTAACCAACTATTAATATACTCTGTTTAACAATTAAAATAATAGTGATTCATTGTTTTTATTTATTTTTTGAGATCGAGTTTTGCTCTTGTTGCCCAGGCTGGAGAGAGCAATGGCACGATCTTGGCTCACCACAACCTCCACCTTCTGGATTCGAGGGATTCTCCTGCCTCAGCCGCCTCAGTAGCTGGAATTACAGGCATGTGCCACCACACCCAGCTAATTTTGTATATTTTTTTTTAAGTGAGACAGAGTTCCCGGGCTGGAATGCAGTGGTGCGATCTTGGCTCACTGCAACCTTTGGCTCCCGGGTTCAAGTGATTCTTCTGCCTCAGCCTTCCAAATAGCTGGGATTA